TTTACTATCAGTAACAATAGGTAATCCCTGACTTCCTACGTAGATACTATAACTATATTAAAAAAAAACAAAAGTGTGATCTAGATAAATCTTTTATTGTCAGTATTTTGAATGTTTGTCTTATTTACAATATCTCGCAACATTTCTTTTTTCTACGCCAACGGGATTCCATTGAGCGCCGTTTATAAGCTTTTCGTATTCTTTTTTTATGCGTTGAACGACAACACTTGGACCCCTTTTGGTGTTTTGAGTGTCTAGAGTCTTTAGATTGTAATCTGGCGCATGCACACGGGGTGCCTATACGGCTGACTGTTTCCATAGCACTGGGGCATTTTCGTTTCTTTTTGATACATTTCTTATAACATTTATCTGGCTGTGGACAGGGAGCCGGACGGGGTCTATGTTTATGGACGCTGCATGTCGGCGCCGATACGCACGGCTTTACACTCTTATTGGAATACACGGCTGTAACATACATAGTATAAGCTCAAGCGGCATCAATAACAATCTTACGTACTAATTTTATTCAAATAATTTTATACATATACTTGAATAAAAATGAAAATAATCTACTTTTTTACGACCCAACTTTTCGCTAAGCGATTAGCACTACCTAACTACAAACACCTGCAATGATTACAAATGCGATGCTGAACTTTTATTAAAACGAAGTACCGGTCTTTTCTTTAAAGCTCGAGGGTAGGTACTGTGTTGGACAGCTGATAAGAAATTGTGTAATAGTGGAATTAAAAACGTTTTTGCAATTATTTTATAAACATTTTTGATGGAGTTGTTTTTTTGTGGCATAAGCCGGTAAACGAGCAGACGGATCACTTGATGGTAAGCAATCGGCGTCGCCCATGGACACCTGGAACACCAGAGGCGTTACAAGTGCGTTACCGGCCTTTTGGGGATTATGAGTTTGAGGATCGTTGGGGATTCAGGAATTGCGGAGATTGGGGGAGGGTAATTGGGCCTCCGGTAACCTCACTCACACGACGAAACACAACGCAAGCGTTGTTTCACGGCAGTCTTCTGTGAGGCCGTGGTATCACTCCGGTCGAGCCGGCCCATTCGTGCCGAAGCATGGCTCTCCCACACTTAACTGTTTAAACTGATATCTACTTAGCTGTGCGTGTAAACATTAAAATTAAATTCCAATTACACTTGGGAGCAAAGAAACGGGTTTTTCTGATCAAAATAAGTATTTATTTTATTAATTGATAACGTAGGTGTGACGGATAAAAGGCAATTGAATTAACTTTAAAACGAGCATATTGTTGTAAAAGGATTTTTTTAAGTTATAGATTAACAGTTAATATAATTGCAGGTCATTTATTAAAAACGATAAAATAAAAAAATTAATTAAACGCTAGTGGCTCAGGTTCTTTGCTCCCAAGTGTACTTACTATTGTAAGGATTTCGTTTATCATATACAAGATGAGTAACTCTAAATCGGCTACCATTGAAAATAAAAAACTGGATTTACTCAAACATAGAATATTATTTCTTTAATAACATAGGTAAGTAAATAATAGTTAGGGTTCAACATTTTATACAGACTAACGCAAGAAGTGTTATCTTCAAGAAACCTCACAAAAATTAAATGCCCACAATATTTATGTGTATTAGTTGTATTTCGGAAAGTTTATTTGCATATATGAGCAGTCTTGTAATTGAGGTTTCTTTTTCACAAAATAACACAATTAGACATATTCTTTAATCTTTTCCTGTCGTCTCGGCCCTTGTGTTGGCCATCTGGTATAAATAGTCTGGCTCTGTGTCGTTTTCGCATTATATTATAACGTTGACAATACTGAGTGCCATTCAAGACGTCGATGGTTTTTAATCGGTCCTGTAATCTTTTTTCACGCTTGGAGATTTCAACAGGCTTCAAATGTCTGGCACTGTCTATTTTTTTAATACGTGTTTTATAATCAGATTTTATTTCGCCAACCCCTTTCTTCAATAGGGACACTGCGCTATGGCATGCTTTTAGTTTTGTTGTACGACACCGTTGATACCGTCTAGCGCATTCCTTAGAACGAGGGCATTTTTGTACAGTATATAGACTTTTCTGATGCCTATGTGGTACGGACACTTTTAACTGAGTACACCAAGGATAATAAGGCAGCAGCATATTAATACCATTCATACTGTTAACAAAAAATATGAATCATTTTTGTGAAAGATAAATAAATAATAAAAATGCAACTAAATATAACAATCATATCACAAGCAATTAAATCAAAGAAGCCAGCCTCGATTAAATTGTTCAGTTATAATAATTACTATTAATAAATAATCAATCTTACCGTATACTGTAGCAAAAGTTATAGGAAAGGTACATTATTTCACGAACCGTAATATTCCTTTTAAATATCTAGGTATAATCGATTGAGAATGAACAGGGAGGACTATCTATATAATAAAATAACAGATACTGATTTTGTAATAATTCATAATAATTAATTATTGTCATTTATTAATAATAAATAGCTGAATAGGTAATATATTATTATAAGCGGATAAAAGTTTCGCCCAGTCTATGAACATACACGTTTTTTACAATATTTCACAACACTTTTTCCTTTTCAGTCGACCTCTGTGTCCCCTGCCGGCACAACAGGAAATTTTTGACCTCTTACTGCCCTTTCCTCTCGTGTACTTCAAGTATGTATGTTTTCCTTGCAGTCTATCTTTTTTCCTCATTTTGGCTTCTTTTGATTTCCTTTTCAAAAACTTTTCAACTGCTTTAACGTTTCTTGGGTTACTGCATTTAGTGTTAAATTTCCCACAGGTTGCACATTTCGATTTTGATCTTGTTGACATAATTGATACAGCACTGCGGCATGGCCTTATACCCTTTGAAGTTGTTTTTCTGAGACACTTTTCGGGATTTGTGCATGGCGGAGGTGTGGGATGGCAACGTATCGGCGTGCAAGAAGCAGATGGCGTGCATGGTGGATGCATAGAGGGCGCCATTGGGACGAATCAACTATTGCTCTGAAAATAAAAAGAAACGAATGTTAGTGCATACCATCTCAACATAGGAATAGAAGCCAGCATCAAAAATCAATTTAACTGCCACTCAAGTTACGTATAGGTGCATAAAAGAAAGTAAACGTAACTTACCTGCAAAGTCATTGAAACAGGTAACAAAACACTGGAATCGTAAAGCCCGGATGTGTAAATAATTTAATTGGTACCTAATTGTAATACCTATCATAAACTGCAGCCACTACATCGATTGTAACCTAAGTATAACACGAATGAACGAGTGATACTCACAATATTTGTTCATGTTATATTGGTACTTCTGGAAATATGACCAGATTCTCCGCCGGCTTCAAAATCTTACACTAAAGTTAAAAGAAAAAGATATTCTTAGAATCAATCCTTTTGAAGAGGTGAGGAACTAAAGTAAAATGTGGTCTCTTATTGAACAGCACTAAGTAACACATTTTAAGAATATCAGCTTACGAGAACATCGACATACCTTACTGAACTTATAAACGTTTCACATACAACTTTTGTTCACCACCTCAATACAATGCACTCACAACTTTGTACAAAAGTTCAATGCCTGGCGTGCAATTAATAATTTATCTAAAATATAACGCACTAATAGTTGTTGCATACTAAACTCATATTTATTACGTAATCTTAGTAATACACAAGGGATTGACTAAACTTATTCGAGTTGTCACTGCATTTGAACTTTTGTATGACATTTACACGTGTCTGTTACCATTAAATACGAATTAATTATGAGTGGCAGTCATATTCACACGAGGCTGGCTTCTTTCATGGATAAAAATCAATCTACATTTGCAGGCTTCTTTGTACAAAGCTGTTATTAGTGTCTACTTCAAGTTACCTTGTAAATACTAAATACACAAAAACTATGAATGCTTACCCATAATCTGTTAAGGCGGAAATATGTTTGGGTTACTCGTATTGTTTCATATCGGTATAGTTTATTTAAACTGTTAATTTAATCATTTTTGTTGTTGACATCCGGATTTTACATTTTTGATCTTCTATTTTTAATCTTGACATGTGCTATTAATCTTCTTGTTTTTTACACGTGGACAGTGAGCACAAAACATCGACAAAGATTTAGGCTTCGTATAAAGTTAGGTTGTATTGGAAATCATAGAGATTCGAGTATACAATCGAACACATGTTTGCAATTCGGTAAGTATTAAATATTTATAAGCCTATTATTTATTTTTTCGAATTACAAAGGATGCAATCAAATAAAACTTAGGTAAACAAGCTAAGCCTTTATTCAAGCTTATAATTTTGTGTACATTGAATTTTGTACGGAAAAAATAAATAACTTACGATTAATACGTCGTCTACGATATATTTACGTTAAAACAACTCTGCAATTATTTAAACAATACACTTTGATTAGATTCTTATCTACAACAGTGAAAATGAATAGAGATTTACTTTACTATGAAAATATCACATTAACATTAATTTACTTTAAATATATTTTTAACAAAATAAACTGAATCCTACATCATTAATAATCGCACTAGCAATGCAAGGCCCAAGTTTTATACATTTATATTTTTAATACTTATTTATTACAAATATCAAGAAATTATTTGCATCAGGTCTGTATCAACTTCTTCTGTCTAGTGACGACATTGAAAAATATCTAACTGTTTATACATTTTATACACAACACGTTTATAAACAATAACAAATTTTAGCAGCAAAACGTACCAAGTAGTAGTCATAAATGTTCAATATTATGTAAAAATAAGATTTTATTTATATTTCGATTATGCACAATTTAACATCGATTAATTTGGTTTGATTTTATATCCGCGTAGCTACGACTCCCAGGGTAGAGGAATGTTACATTATTATAGCTTAGTCACTATCTCCTTCATCATAAATATTTTCCATCGGAAGGTAAAACTCATCTTGAGCCTTAAGACACGAGCGCCTTGGTGGCATTTGGAAATGTGGACAGTGCATTAATTTTCTTTCTTTGACAACGATTCCTGATAAGTCGGCGGTAGATCCTGTAACACAAACATGCTCGCTTATACAACTATAAACAAGTTACAATTATTTGCTAAATACAGTGGGCTTGAAATATACTCAATCTGAATTTAAATACTGTTTGAATGAAATTTACCTTAGAGTATTACGTAATTTTCAATCATGGTTTATGTTTGTGTACTTACGCTGTATGGTGGCGGCACGTACGCTGTCTGAGGCCTGTTGGGATCGTAATAGGCGCTCTGTGCAGCCTCCGCGGCTTTAGCATCTGAAAACGACAATGTCACTACTGCAGCAAACAATACAAAAATAAATCAATATCAAATACACTAATTGTTCTCTAGAAGCCCACTTACTAAATACACTAGACTATATCATTCAAATGTGAGTAACTCAATAAGCATTAGATACACTCGCAACAAAACAACTCACAGTGGAGCCTCGGCCTGTCCGATTGAATATTTTAAGTTTTAACTCTCTGAGGAACGAAAATTAATAAGTGTGTTTCAATTTGGAATTTAGAAGAGGATAACTCTCACCACTGGAGGACATGCCAGCCGGGGCTCCAGGGTATCCGGGGGGAGCGGAGGGACCCGGCGAGAATGCTGCACCTGTGGGCGACGGACTCTCCTGTGAGCTCACGCCGGAATATCCAGTGCCAGGCGGGTACGCCCTGCCTGTCACGCCAGGGTACGGGGGCGGGTTATTCGACACAAAGACTGAGTTTGGTGGTGGCTGGTCAGGGAATGCCTAAAAATGTAAATTAACGCATTAATATCACTCAATTAAGTATTTTAATCAAAACATTTCACAACTAAAGTATGATACCAAAAATATCTGAAAGCATAAAACATCAGTCAATATTGTTTATTATTTCCAAATCTTCAAAATTCAATAGGTCCATATGATGCTCAATTAAATACCAGATTAGAATCATTAGGTCCCCTAACATTTCAATAAAATATGTAAGCAAGATGTTTGGATTAATTTTTTTTTTAATTATAAGATAATTATATTAACATGATTGAGAACAGAACCCTCAGCATTCTGCTAATTGAAAGAAGATAATTATGTTCCTAATATTATACTAACCATGTAGGGAGGTACCCATCCGTAGTAACCCTGTGGAGGCGGCGCATACGCTGGAGGTGGCGCGGCGTACCATGGACCAGTAGGCGGCGAATACGGCGGAGGCCTGGAGTCTGGCGCCGAGTGACGAGTGGCTGAAACATCACAATCAAACATAATAAAAGTATTGTTCCTTTTTAACCAAGTTTTTATCATGTAGGTATGTATGAATTGTCAGGTTACTTTGCCTGAACATGATAGAATATAGAATAAAAAAACATGTTAAAAAAAGTTTCATAGTTTTTTACTATGAAAATTTTCAAGAACAGGTAGTGCTTTTGCCCCCAAATCGTATGTCCATTCCAAAGTACTTCCAAAGGTAAAACAGACTATATATTTATTACTACAAAGTACAATTTAAATGTAAAAGTATTGTTAAATTCTAGTTTGTAGCATTTATTTTGTCAATAGAATAATTAGACAGTACAGCATATTCATTATTTAGTTTAATACACTACTGCTACTAATGGTTAATAATACAATTGCACAAAAGCCAATAAAATATTTCATTCTCTGATAACAAAACGTAATGAATCAGCCATAACAATGTTTAAATAATGATATCATATCACATACTGATATCATACTTCATAGCCAGATACGAAAACTCGAGTAGAAAAGCAAAACATTGCTTATTACACAATATACACAATTTTAATTTCTAAATCTTTAATGAGATGTGTGGGAGAGCTATGCATCGGCACGAAAGGGCCGGCTCGACCGGCGTGTAACCACGACCTCACAGAAAACCGACGTGAAACAACGCTTGCTTTGTGTTTCGTCGTGTGAGTGAGGTTACCGGAGGCCCAATAAACCCACACCAATAGTCTTCCCAATCCACGAATCCTCCACAATCCTCAAATTCCCGAAAATCCCAAAATACCGGTAACGCACTGTAAGGCCTTAGTGTTTCGGGTGTCCATGGGCGGCGCCTATTGTTTACCATCAGGTAATCCGTCTGCTCGTTTAACGGCATACGTCATAAAAAAATTAGAGTGTATAAATTCTTACCAAGATGTGCGGCTTTCAGCATGGCTTGTCCAAATTCAATAGCACCTCCAGACTTGAACACAATTTTGAATTTTACTTCACCGATAAAGTTTCCGTTAGGTTGTGCATGAACTTTCCCTTTAATGTAGTTTGCTGAGAACATAGGCTGTTCTATAGCAACCTGGTAAAAATATATTTTGCGTAAGACAAAGTACATTAAAAGACAAACACATCATTTAAATAAAATAATATCACTTACATCCATCAACGTAACAAACGGAAAACTGAATGACCGCAGAGGTTCAGAGCGGCTTTTTGAATTGAAAATCATGCGATGACTTGTCAAGTATATACGGCCTTCTTTGGTTCCACTGAACTCAGTTGTATCATTTCCATAGAAATTAATTGTGACATTGTCCGAGAACAATATGATGCTGAAAATAAATTACCATTGTAGACAAAATACTCTTTTTATGTATGCTCACCTATTAACCTTATAGTCATTAATATTACTAAAACTTGTTAGTTTCCACCATTGCGTTGCTGCAATTGGCTACCAAAACATTTTTTTTTTTCTATTAAATCATATTAAAAACATATTTGTGGTATTAAATCAACACCAGAAAACATTCCTGTTTATATTGACCAATAATCTTTCCATTATTTAGGAGGGATCAGAAATCTTTATTATCTGTACAGTTTGAAGATGTAGAAATAGGGCTAGGGAGTTAAGACTAGAGACTAATGAATTTAAATTCTTAATCCAAAATTTAAATTATTTATTAACTAAAACAACAGATCTCAAAGTCTTTTTACGAATTTGTATTATTTATAAAATGAAGTATTCATATTCATATTTTTATTTCCAACGCAATGGTGGAAACTAACAAGTAATTTAAGCATTGACATAATCTTCTATCTTAAACTTAATTACCATGATGCAATATTTAATGCAAATTAAAAAACAAAACAGTACCAAAACCTGAATTCTTATATTGCCCTTTGCTCTTTATAATAGAAGATAGGACATGAGACATTTCTAACAATTTTAATAACAAAATAATCAAATGTGAATGTAAAAAATACTGTTAATTCTAATTAGAACATTAGTTCTTTAACCTTGAATTACATATTTAAATGAGGTCATTAAAACATTTTAATCATAATCTTCTTTAAAACAAAATGAAACATTCAGTTCAAATTAATTTCCTTATTGTGCAGTTGACTGTTAAGAATATTAAAATGTTTAAAAGACATTAAATGTAATAAAAACTTGAATTAATTCTAGTAATCTAGATAGTCTCGACAACAGAGTATTCTTTCAGGTTTTTCTATGAACTAAAGTCAAAACGTTAAGTGAATTCATGTAGATTGTACAAAGGTACGGCAACTTAAACATCCTCAAATAAGGATTTATGTATAGAAATCAATAATACAGCATCACAAGTATAGAACATTCTAAAGCTAAATACGCAGTCGTCACTCATATCCAAAAAGATGACTCACCATTCTCCTGCATGTATCAACACCCCGTGATCGGCATGAGCCGTATTAAGAGACATTTTGTTAAGGTTTCTAGTGTATTTTGTAAAGGTTTTGCACAATACTGGTAATTAATACTTAGCTACCGCTTTCAACAAACATGAAATAAACAGCGAATGCGAAAAGTGATGAAATTTCGTGTTTTGAGTTACGAATGACAGTGACAGACAGATAAGAAGTAAAAAATTACAGATAATAAAATCAAATAAATCTAAAAGGCCGGGCTGTCAAACGATTTTATTTTTGATGAATTTCATTAAAGTTTCATGATGGTTTCATGATGATTTCAATGAGAAAAAAATAAGAGCGTGCTAGGAAATAAGTTAACAGTGGTTAGAAATGGTTTTTTTAAGGGGGGAAAATCATCGAATGACTTCTCCCGTCTAAGTGAGGCGGGAGGGAGTGTCAGACTTTTACTGACTTAAAACCACCTCGTTCCTTCTGCTGTTAGGTATAACTAACACTACTAATTGACATTAAAAGTCTATACATTCACTATTCAAACTAAATGGTTTAATTTAATAGGCTACCCTTATACTTACACATGACTTATACCCTCTTTAGGGCTGGCCGGGAACTGTCCGCCCGAGGTTCCCCCTTTGGCATGAGGGCTACCGCTATACTTTTCCCATCACTGAGAGTATGAGAGAAGTCCATAGTGTGGTATGTAGTCATCTCATCAATCAAGCTGTCAGTGTGTCAGTCAGTAATGTCAAAGACGGCATAAACGCGACGATACTTGTAAACAAAATGGAAAATTGGTATAATTTTAGCGGGAGAGTTTTGTAAAAATCACAGATTTTAATATCTTTATGAATTTATATTTAAAGCAATCATGGATACAAATATAAATCAAATTAACGATATTAAAGCTATATCTAAAGACACAGTGCATAAAATATGTTCTGGACAGGTACAAATTATATAATATTTTCTTAGAAGTAATGATTTAAATACTATTTAATTAATAGCCAATAAGATTCTATAATGTTCACACTAAAATTTTGATTTATAAAGAATAATTTGATTTATATATCTAGATATTTATTTATAAATTGAGCAATATACCTAGAAAGAAGGTAAAGATTCCAACAGTTATAATTTGCTTTTTACTTTTTTAACTTTATAGGTGGTTGTTAGTTTAGCAGTGGCTGTAAAAGAACTGGTCGAAAACTCATTGGACGCTGGAGCAACCAATATAGATATAAGGTTTAAAAATTATGGCATTGACCTAATTGAAGTATCAGACAATGGCAGTGGTGTTACTGAAGACAACTTTGCTGCTTTGAGTAAGAAATAATAATAACTTTTTTATTACATTTATTTACATTTATTTATTTATTACATTTCAGTACAGTTTAAAATTTTTTTTGCACCATTAAACCACAGCTGGTTTGTATTGGTACTCACATTCGCAGTTTTATGTTATAAATTTATAAACCCATTCAGTGTGACAATTATGCTAATATAATAAGTGACAAAGATTTTAGATACATTACATATTTTATGAGTAACAGTAAACATCCATGAGCAAAGCATAAACGTACTCATTAAAATTGCAAAGAAACAAAGTACTCAAAGAAACCGATACCGACACACACGGCACTAGCTAATGTTAAACTTTTGCAGTCTACCCCACAATATGCTACATTGGCATTGTTATTATGTCTTGTATTAGTTCTCCATATGCAACCGGTCCTCGTCAACTTAAAACTAACTTCCTGTAACTCCCATCTAAATTGTATTAGATCACCTGATAAAATGTTATTGGAATTAAATTATCATTTCAGTTCAAAAGGCTAATTAAATTTTTAAATAAACTAAAAAATATATAAAACATAGATTTGCCATGGTATGATAAAATCTCAATTTATTTAGCATGTTTATGTGCTTCATCATAATTATACTTTTCAGCTTTAAAATACCACACTTCTAAATTATCTGACTACTCTGATCTACTTGGTGTGACCAGTTTTGGATTTAGAGGAGAAGCTCTGAGTTCACTATGTTCTTTAGCCAATCTTACTATTACAACAAGGCACAAGGCAGCTGAATATGGTATACTAATGCATATACATAAGAAATATTCTGTGTTAGTTGGAATTTCACTCCTTACACAATAAATCTTCTTTGCAGCTACCAAAATTGAATATGATCACAAAGGTCATATCACGAAGCAAACACCATGTTCAAGACAAATTGGTACAACAGTCAGTTTAACAAATCTATTCAAATCACTACCTGTTAGACAAAAGGAATTTCATAAAAATGCCAAAAGAGAATTCAATAAGATGACTCAGTTGCTGTATGCATACTGCCTCATTTCTGTTGGAGTAAAGTAAGCTTTAAAATTACTACCATAGGTTTGAAATTTGTGTGATACCAATGTTATAAAACTGCTGCTTTTTTCAGGATCACATGTACTAATCAAACAAGCTCCAATGCAAAATCTTTAGTAGTAGCTACACAAGGAACCACATCCTATAAAGACAACATAGCCAGTGTTTTTGGAGTGAAACAACTGCAAACATTACTTGATATTAAACCTGAATATGTTACAAACATAAAGGACAATATCTTCAAAGGCTTGTCACAAGAAGTTAAAGAGACTGCAGATGAAACTGTAGACTTAGAAGATGTTGAAATAGATTTATCTGAAGACTCTAATGATGCTGAGAAACCAGATGCCACAATAGAATTAAGTGGTTCACAAAAATCTCAAGGTTACAAAAATGTTGCCAAACCAATTGAGTTTACTGGGTTTATTTCCTCTTGTGCGCATGGTAGTGGAAGATCAAGCACTGATAGACAGTTTTACTTTGTTAACTCCAGGCCCTGTGAACCAACCAAAATCATAAAAATAATCAATGAAATATACAGACAGTACAACTCTAATCAATACCCCTTTGTGTTCCTAAATGTTAACTTAGAAAGAGAAGCTGTAGATGTTAATGTGACGCCAGATAAAAGAAAAGTATTTCTTACTAAAGAGAAAATAATATTAGACATTCTAAAAAACTCCATATTGAAATTATTTGAGAATATTCCTAGAACAGTAAAGATTGAATCAGGGCTTAGTTTGTATCCTAAAGAATCATATGATGTTAAGCCTGATCCAGATCAGCCAAGAGTATTCAATTCATTTTTAGATCAGTTTAAAAATAAAACAAAGCAAGTTTCTGATAGTATACCTGCAGTAGACAAGGAATTTACGAAAACAGAACTTAAAAGAAAATCAACAACAATGTTAGATTTTATTTCTTCAAAAACAAAGAAGACAGAAGAAGTCAAAGAAGGGATTTTGAACCAGGAAGAAGTAATTGAAGATAGCTCAAACAATTCTTTCGATATTTTAAAATCTGATGATGAAGAGAATGAAAGTACTGCGAACAACATTTCAGAGTCAAATGTAAGCTGTGCAAGTAATGAAAATATTACAGATCAGAAGTCTAATAGTTCGTCTTTAGAAGAAAATAAAACCAATGAAAATGTAATGTATTTAGATTATTTTGAAAATGTACCATCTACACAAATAAGACATCTCAAAGATGTTGTGATAGAGAAGTCACATACAATTACCTGTAAAACAAAAGGATTGAAAACAAAAGCTAATCTCTCAAGTGATATAAAGGAGAAATCACCTAAAAAACAAAAAGTTGTAACCGATCAAGAAGACTTGGGAAAGAATAATAGGAGAACTGTAACTTTAAAAACATCCCTTGAACATGTGAAAATATTGGCAAATATGTATGCTGAGATTAAAAATGAATCCACCCCTAAAAGGATTAAATTCAAAAGTGAGATTAATCCTGTATTCAACAAGAAATGTGAAGAAGAATTGAGTAAAGAAATCTCAAAGGAATCATTTAAAAGTATGAAAATTATTGGGCAATTTAATTTGGGTTTCATTATAACTAGATTAGAAGATGACCTTTTCATAATAGACCAACATGCTACCGATGAGATTTACAATTTTGAAACATTACAAAAGACTACCGAGCTTACTAGTCAAAAATTAGTCATGTAGGTATTATTCAATTATTACTTTATTTTTTTTTTTTTTTATTAATTTTATTTAAAAACACAGGTAAGTATCTTATAATCTAAGCCCCACAAAACCGTTGCAACGGTTTGACTGCGGGGTCGAGTCGCTAGACATTACAATTAAATGTACTTATATTTAAATGTTGTACAGGCGTTGAAACTTATACTTAGGTACTTATTATTAGGACATTTCTAAATAATGTGACTTTAATTTTCGTTTAAACCTGTTCGAATTTGTTTCACTCCTTATGTCTGCCGGCAGACTGTTTAATAGATACGGTATTCTCTTTTTTAGTGTTCTATCACCAAAATAGTTGGTGACTCTGGGTACATTGTATCTACCAGCAGCCATAGTTCGTGTGTTTTGGTTGTTCTTTACATAAGATAAGTCATGCTCCTGAGTACGGTGGTGGTTAACTAATAATAGATATTTATGTTTGTAAGTAATCGGTAGAATTTTGCATATTTTAAATAATTTTCTATAGTCTCCTTTACAACTGCTTTTAGTTTTTTTAGTAACAAGTAGTTTTAAGAATCTAATCTGGAGAGCTTCCAATTTATCTAAATGTATTTTAAATGTTAACCCATAGCTGTCAAGAGCATAGCTCATGATAGAATCAACTAATGACATATAAATACATCTTAAAATATTAATAGGAACTTTAAAGCTTAGGTGGTACATTTTACTCAATAAAATTCTTAGTTTACTAGAAATATAGTCTACATGTTGTGACCAGGAAAAGTTACTATCTATTTTCACACCAAGGTAGGTTACACAGTTAACTGTTTCAATAGGTTCACATTTACAATCCAGTAAATTATTATGGTGACATGTATAGTCGTGGGTAAATAAGGACGGAATCACATTATGAGGTTGCAAATACGGCGAACGAATTAACATTAGTTTAGTTTTACTGGCGTTTAACATAATGCCATTGTCATGTGACCATTTAACAACAGCGTCTATATCTTGTTGAACTAGGTGACAGATATCATCAATGTTAGTTCCGGAGCGAAGTATGCACAGGTCATCTGCAAACATATAAGCTGAACAATGCTGCAGCACTCGGCACAGGCTGTTAACATGCATAAGGTAACAAATAGGTCCACATCCAGAGCCCTGCGCCACTCCACTCCGTACCTCGACTCTGTCGCTGAGAGCGCCCTCCACCTTTACGCGGTAGGAGCGCGAGGTGAGGTAATCACGAAACCACGGATTTAGTGGTTCTCCCACCCCGCACTCCTCCATTGCATTCAGGATGGTATCGAACTGCAGAGTGTCGAATGCTTTTTTATAATCAAAAAATATTGTAATAACAAATTTTTTATCATCTAAATAACTATTTATTTCGTCTGTAAATTTTGTAAGCAATGTATTTGTACTTTTTCCTTTTAAAAAACCGTGTTGACACTCATTGATTATATTATTTTTTTGTATGTAGTTACTTAATTGATTGACTATACACTTTTCAATGATTTTATCTATACTAGATAAAATGGAAATAGGTCTGTAGTTTGAAACATCTTTACGATCACCTTTTTTATGAATTGGACGGACTATTGCCTCTTTAAGCTTATTAGGAAATTTGTGGTTTTTGACAGTTAGGTTTATAAGTTTAGCTAAAACGGGGCTTACTTTATCAATGATTATTTTAAGGTCGGACATTCGCACGAGATCGCTTCCCGGTGATTTATTTGAATTCATGTTTTTAATTACGTTTTTGACGTATTTTGGGCTTACTGGTTGCCACCTCATGGACATGTCAGAAGCTTTTACATAAGTCTGCCTATCCAACCAAAGCTCATGACACTTATGTTTTACTAACCTTTACCCGTGGCTTCGCTCGCTAAGTAGAGTAACTACTGCATAGATACCAATTAGTAATTCGTTGACTTGTTTTAAATGACATACAGCGTCATCTATACCAATATACACAGCGCTATCTATACCAATATTTTTGTTTTCCCTCAGGATTATCAATTTTTCCGGGATAAAAAGTATTTTAAATTTTAAAGCAATCGTTTTAGTAGTTGCGGTGTGAAAGCGGAACAAACAAACAAACTCACTTTCCGATTTACAATATTAGTAAGGAATATATCCTTACTTCTTTCAGCCTTTAAGCTAAACATGTCGCATATAATGTGATTGATTTCAGACCTCAACCACTTGAGTTAACAGGAGTGAATGAACAAATCCTAATGGACAATTTAGATGTATTCAAAAAGAATGGTTTTACGTTTGAAATCAATGAGGAAGCCCCACCCACGAAGAGAGTTAAATTGTTGACCTTACCCATGTCTAAAAACTGGATATTTGGAAAAGAAGATATAGAAGAACTTTTATTTATGTTGAGGGTATGTATTTATCTTATTCCCGATTAAAACCATTAATAGATGTTCTAATATTAATTTCAAGTAATATTTGTTGTACATATAAATTACAGGAATCTCCTTCAGAGTATTGTAGACCAAGCAGAGTAAGAGCAATGTTTGCATCACGTGCCTGTCGGAAATCTGTGATGATTGGAACAGCTCTGAGCAAAGCAGACATGAGGAAACTTGTTGATCACATGGCCGAAATAGACAAACCTTGGGTAAGATATATTTTACCTAAAAATTGTATTGTAGTATTGGGTATAAGAATAGACATACTGTAGTAGGGAATGATAGAAGAAACTACGACTGATGCATTCCCGCCAGCTGCAAAGGTATTGTAATACTAAGAACTGAATTTTATTTTTCAGAATTGTCCTCATGGTAGACCCACAATTCGGCATCTAGTAAATTTAGCCATGGTCCATACAAAAGATATGACTTGATACCTGATTTATATAATTTTTATATCCTCAATCTAAATCATGTAAGGATATTGTAGCAACAAATTATTAAATGAGACAATAATTATTTGCATAGTTTTATTTCATACACTAATTGACTTGAATATATTGAATCCTGTGTGTGCAGTAGTCACCATAACTCCTGGCATTTGTTTATGCCAATGCAATTCCTTTATATCACTCTGTCCTTGATGGATGAACAGCAACTGGGGTGGAAGGTTCTGAAAGCATATTTATTGTGTTATTTGAGCTTACATTATAGTATGGAAATTGGAATTCTTAGGATCATCATATAATGGAATTCTTACATTATAGCAGATTGAAGAAAGGCGTAGTGTATTGCACTGCCAATATTCATATTCGACAAAAACTTTTAAATGGTAAAGATCTTCTAAACTTCCGAGTCTTACCTTCAATTCTTCATCGACAATGTCGTCGTCATCTCTCTCAACAGCCAAGTCCCATAGTGCAACTTGATGGTCTTCACCAGCAGATGCCAGAACACTAGGCTCAGTCCAGTGCCACTCTACTGAAGTAACAGGAGCTGTGTGGTGTTTGAAAGTACCAACTGGAGTTTTGTTTGCCAGCTGCCGTAAATCCCAGACATGAAGAAAACCATCATCTCCACCTGGAATTCATAGTTGAATGTTGAGACATAGCCTAATTCTCACTTTTATAATTCAAACATTTAACAAGTAAATACATTTTTAGAATGTTGGAGCTGATAATACACATTATGTAGAATTGTAGATCATAAACACTACACATCGACTGCACGGTTGGTGCGGTGGCTGGGCAACCGGCTGCCGTGCAACGTGTCGCGGGTTCGATTCCCGCACGGAACAACACTTTGTGTGATCCACAAATTGTTGTTTTAGGTCTGGGTGTCATTGTGTATGTGAACTTGTATGTTTGTAAACGCACCCACGACACAGGAGAAAATCCTAGTGTGGGGCAACGTTTTTTTAAAAGAGAAAGAGATAAACAGTAACTTACCACTTGCAATGAAAGGTTCTTTGCTATTCCATGATATAACATTCACATCACTTTCATGAGCATTCTCTACTGCCAGCATGCAAGCTTTATTGGGAGCTGCTCTGGTATCCCATATTCTTATTGATTTATCAACAGAACATGAAGCTAAAACATTCCTGAAAAAAGCATACCTTATGATTATTTCCATCCTAAAATTTTGAGGATAGCATGCAGTCTAAAGCAGATACTAATAAAGACTATTAAAAGGATTTATTATTGGCAAGACCAATCAGATTCTGGATGATGACTAGAATTTTGTCTTTCATGTAACCATTGCAAGCTCAGGTTAAGTTCTATAAGAGGTGGTTTTGTGCATAAAACAATTTTTGATAACAAAGACATATTATACAAAATACATTACTTACATACCTTTCATTAGGAGACCACTGTATATCTTCAACGGAACTGGTGTGTCCTATTAGTGGGCGCTGGTCGACTTCCCATGTGCCAGCCTGGTTTGGTTTCCATATATGAATATCTCTTCTGCAATCACCTGTTGCAAGGACCTGGAAATTAAAATATAGGACTTAGTAAAATATTTATTTAAATGACATTCTTTATTGTTTACTTTGGTTATAATAACACAATAATAAATGTAAAAACATGGCACAATCTGACTTATAAGGTCTTTGACTGTTACCAGGCAATTGTTAAAGTTAAATGCTCTGGTAACATTGACGATAATAATAGTGAACACATAAATTTTATAAAAGTAGCTTACACCAGCTTCTGTAGGGCACCAATCAATTCCAAATCCTTCTTGTTGATGTCCATTGAATGAATAAAGAGGTTTGACAGGATTATTGACAGTATCTAAGTTATAGCGTTCTAGCAACACGGGATCATCCACTGCCTGCAGCTGCTGGGTTATGTTCCAAATGTCCACCCTCCCCAATTCAGACCAACTTGCAGCTAGGACTGAATTTCTAAAGTTTGTCGCCTGTTAGAAGAATGGAAAATATTAATATGACATTTAGTAAAAAACAATCTCAAGCAGAAAATAAGAATTCATAGAAAGTAATTTTAATTTGATGTTGATAATTTTAAATCAGCATTTTAAATTTATAACTATCTTGCTTTTTATTTAGAAATATGCAATTTGCGTATCAGTGATGCAACTTATGGACTGACCCTTATTCTGTTTACACATCCTTGATGTTTGATGAAAGAGAATGTCATTAGGGGCTTCTTCTCCTCATCCTCTTCTTCGTCATCGTCATCCTCGTCTTCATCAGACTCTTCTTCATCTTCAGCTTTTGATGTTTGATGCAAATTCGACATTTTAATAACTAGAAGACTAAAAAATAAAATTATTTAGAAATCTATTACATGGGACTCATAACATAAATAGTGAAAAGTGGGTGTTACATTGTACATTGGTATAATGTGCACCTCTGCCTACCCCTTCGAGGATAAAAGGCGTGATGTTATGTATATGTATTTAGAAATCGACTTAGATAACCCACATAAAATTTATGTTCAAAGTTTTTGCAACTTACTTATTTAAATGGGCGCTAGAAGCTTGAGTGCCGGCAACCAAATAAGCAGTCATTGGGAACTCGTTTCTGTCGTTGCCAAGATTGTCTGGAACAATGTCGAAGCTAAGGCAAGGAGCACCAGTCTGTGCTTGATGTAACATTACATACGCAGACTGGTCACACACCAGCTGCTCGTCTTCCTTCAAAGGTTGATCCGGTAAATAAGTCTTCGGGCGATCATCATTTTCTTCCTCCCCTTCCATGACTTCATCTTCGCTCCCAGAGGAACTAGCCTCCATATTATCATCTGCTTCATTAGCTGACATGACTGAAGGGACTTAAAAAAACTGGGCTTTTAAAAACTAATAATGTGAAAAGAAAACCAGCAGTTTATCACCATAACACCTCAACATGCGCGATTTAGGTTATTTTTATTTTGACACTGACAATTGACAACTAGAAATTAAAAACTAGTGTGGTAATGCTTTTCCCGTGATTCATATGTATTTTAAAAAATCGAATAATATTTGCATCAATAGTGAAAGCCTCTGAAGATTAAATCCCAGCTCTGAAGATTAAAGCCGGGAAGTTCGACTATCATGACATTGCATGCTCTATGCTCTTTTTGCTTTTTGATCACCTCTACTCTCTACTTCAACTGTCAGTCAACATCTGTCATCTCATGTCATTATTGTCATTGAAAAGATTGTTTTTTTTTCTAATTTTAGGTTATATTAGTAACAAAATTCATTTAAATAGACTTTCTAAATAAATATATCTTCAACCATGGCTTTTCGGTGCCTGAAATTATTAAGAATAATAAGGTCCACGAATGTGATCCGTCATAATTTAATTACAACTTCTGTAGCTTTATCAGAAGAAGTTAAAATCCATAAACCAAAGGAGTATAAAACAGAAGATAATTTAGTATACGCAGAAGACCCAGATACTTTTGGTACCTTATCCAGGATTGTTAACACTAAGTCGGAACAGCTGGAGGATGAAGGAGATATAAAAGAACAAGAGTTCATACAAAATAAGCCGTTGCGCACTCAGAAACTCACTATTAGACAATATGCCGATTTAATAAAACAATTTATCAGTCACAAGAGACTAAAAGAGGCCATCGACGTCTTAGAAACGCGTATGTTAAAAGAAGATAGAGTAAAACCAGAAAACTACATTTACAACATACTGATTGGTGCTTGTGCTGATGTTGGCTACACAAAGAAAGCCTTTAAATTATTTAACGACATGAAAAAGCGTGCTCTACTGCCCACGGGAGACACTTACACATGCCTATTTAATGCTTGTGCTAATAGTCCATGGCCAGCGGATGGATTAATGCGAGCTAAGCATTTAAAGGAGCTTATGGCTGAGAAAGGATATGAACCAAATATTACTAATTATAATTCAATGATTAAAGCATTTGGTAGATGTGGAGATTTACCAACAGCATTTATGATTGTTGATGAAATGGCATCAAAGAGGATTAAACTAAGAGTTCATACTTTAAACCATCTCCTTCATGCTTGTATATCTGATAAACAGAATGGTTTGCGTCATGCTCTCATAGTCTGGAGGAAAATGCTAAAATTGAAAGAAAAACCAAATATTTTCAGCTTTAATTTAATGCTTAAATGTGTTAAAGATTGCAATTTAGGTAATAAACAGGACATTGAAGAGCTAATTGGAGTCATACAAGATCATATTCAGCTGCAAAATAAAAATAGCAAACAGTTGAAGTTGGCTGAATCAACTAAAAATTTAAAAAGTCTGGAACCAGACAAACAGAAATTAATTGAGCCCTCTACATCTGTTACTGAAATAAATAATAACAATGAGCAAACAAATGTGTTTACTAGTGATATAAGTATTATAAATAAAAACGATGATATTGCATTAGAATTTGTTAACAAATTGGACAAAGTAATCACAAATGAGGCAACTGTACCAAACTTACTATCAAAGGTATTAAATATGGAACAAGTGACAGGGTTGCAAGAAATCCACACATTACAAGATAAGTTTGCAGTAGTAGGTGGACAAGAGGACTTCCTCAAAGAAATGCAGACATATTCAGTTAAACCTAATATTAAGACTTTTACACAAATGCTTCCTTTGTTAGAGAATACTACAGAAGCTGAGGACAGATTACTTCAAACAATGAAAACTTTAGGCATTAGAGCGGACATAGATTTTTATAATATGCTTATAAAGAAAAGGTGCTTGAGATCTGACTATGATTCTGCATTTGTAAGTATACTATTGCTATTGATTTGTTTAAGTATTTTGTTCTTTAGCAATTTATCTACTCACACAAAATATTCTTTGTTACAGGCTGTGCAGGATATAATCGAAAAAGAAAGTGACTTTAGAAAGAAAAGGTTTCCATTTTCTAAGAATTTAAAATTGAAATTGAATATAATGTCTTATGGTGTGTTGGCAATGGGATGTAAAACTAAGGAAAATGCTGAGAAACTTCTCAAAGAAATGGAGGAGAAACATCTGAAGTATGGATCTCATTAATAATTAATAATATAAAAATCAAAATGATTTGAGTAATGATAACTTGTTACTCAATAACTTATATCACCAATTATTTTTCGCAGGGTCAACATAGAAATTCTTGGAACTCTATTGAGACACGGAACCGCATCTTCCAACTTTGGCTATGTCCTATACATTATGAATGTAGTAAAAAAAGAAAATATAAAGCTAAACGACATATTCTTGAAACACTTAGTAACCTTCAATGACAAATGTTGTGATATTATTAATAAAAAGGTATGCTACTTTGAGACCTTTATTATGATGTTGGTGTGATAACTGTGATATGATAAAATTTTATCTTATGCTTCTAAATTTGTTTTAGGAGCATGTTTCTGAAACCTTCAAGAAGGCTTATGAAATATTTGCCAAGTATTACAGCACCTGGTTAAAAGAAGTAAATGTTGAAGGGGCTTTAAAACCTGAACATCCTTGGCAGCAATACAGAGAAAATTATCCAGAGACAGTTCAGAGAAGTCCAGTGGAAATCAAAGAACCAAAGAGGTTCTATAAACGAAATAAAAAATTTAGGCGATATACTCCTCAAATAGTAAATTAAAAACATTTTACAAATATGTAGTAACTTTTATTTATACTGTTACAAAATCCTGTTATGTTTGAGACATTTAGATTTTAATGTGATGGAGCTTTCGGTTCAGTTCTTCGAATTTCAAAAGTTTACGAATGAAGAAGTCGCCGAAACGGTGAGCCACCTTCGTGTCAGCAATGTGGATCATGTCATTGTCAATGTAGAAGTCCAACTGAAAACAATAATTATCAGAATTATTATTTAGTAAAAATAGTTTTTTATTCTTCTTTTAGTAGATCTAGATTTTGTTTGTTGACCTGTGTTGTGTTGGCGTGACAATGTGTCTAGACACATTGTCACGCCTATCTCCTACTCGGGTTGGCAGAGAAAATAAAACATTCATCAATCACTTTATGCACATAATATTCTCAACTGTAAAAATTAAATCCATTCTTACCTCAGATCCGCTCTGGAACTTTCCATCAAGACCACTAGGTCCCTTAGTCCAGACAACATTCTTCATCTTGTGCTTGAAGCAAAGCAGGTGGATCGCTAGGGCGGCATGTTCGCGCGCCGCGTCCCTATCGCCACCACGCGCAGCCGACATAAAGGCAGCGAGTTTGGCCAACGGCAGAGTGGTGTACAGTTTCAAGTACGAACGAATTGTTGGCAGCATCTTTTGTTGACGCACCTGTAAACAAGAAAAAAAATCTACTTAGGTACATGCATAATTTTCCAGCTATTCACACATTAAGAAGTGACATCGAAAATTACCATTATGTCCATGATAACTTAGGTTCATAATAACTGCATTCAACTGACCTCATCCATGAACACCTGAGTCTGGTGCTTTACAGCGTCACGTCCATAATTGGAGCCCGGTTCAATAGGCGGTGGGCAAGGTGATAGGAATTTAGGGCAAGCGAAAGTGAAGCAGCTCTCAAACTCTCCCAAGTCACCATATTGCATCTTGAACATTTTCTCGTGGTAGTTCTTCTCACGGAGCACCTACACAAACATATTATTATGTTATAAACAATATAAATAGACATTGAACCTTATTACCAAATTGTAAGAAATCTACTAATCTTCAACATCAATAATTTGAAAATAGATTTGTATATCAGTTACCTGCTGGATGGACTCATCAACACACTGAGGGTGGAGAACCAGGCAGATAGCTAAAAGGTGGTACATCTGCTCAGTCTGCTTGTTAATCTGGTCATTTTGGTATGAACGGGAAGAGAACAGCTGTTTGGTGCGCTGCATGTACAGCAGAGCTGAGGACAGCGTGCGAATAGCGTCGGCGTAACGACGCATCATCATGTAGGCGAATCCCACATAGTAAGAAGTGGAGATTTGGCAGGCAGGCACATGCGAGTACTGAGACTTCTTATGAAGCTCAATGTTTTCCAAGACCTGAAAAAAAAGTTAGTTTTATTCTTTGTCTTATATTTTTATACAAGATCTGTGTCTGTAAACATAAAAGTTATGGGTAAGTTAACTAAATCATAACTGTGAAACTTGGTAGTGACAAAAATTTAGCCTAATTAAAAAAAACCACCTTGGCACTTATGGTTTGATTACAACACAGTCACTCTAACAAGCTAAGAAAGTTTATTATCTAAGTTTACCTTGATGGCCTGGTAATAATCTCCAAGCAGGGAGTGCAGGCGTAGAAGGCCTACAAGGGAGAAGTAGCCCAACATCTTGTATAGGGAGTGACGTCCGAATTCTCCCGCAACTGAGTCAGGGTCGCCGCCAGCAGCATACACCTGAAAAGAAGTAATAATAAAAAAAATAACAAAGTTAAATGTAGCAAACATGCTACTACAGCTTTCGCCTAAGTTCCCAGTATAAAAAATAGCCTACACATTATTGCACACTATGATCTATCTCTATGCTAAATAAATAAATCTTATTCATATTTGCTCAATAATTTCTGTGTGGAATTCTAAAAACATACATCCTTACAAACTTTCACATTTATAATACAGGAAATGATGATAGAAAATTTTTACAGAACTTGTACATTAGGGACTCACCTCAAGTTGCCTCTTGATGTTGGACTTGTCTACAAGGGAGTGTAGTACATTGAGGATACAAAGCACATTCCAGGCCTTGTTTTCAGTATTGAGAGCGTCAATTTCTGCTGGGCTCAACTTTGATGTGCGTGACCTGAAATAACATGAAATATTTGAGATAAAATCTTTTGTATTAGTATTACAGAGCCCAGAGACCATATCTAGACTGAAACAATAACATTATTAAATTTGAAAAAAAAAAGTAAACAAACCTGTATTGCGCAAATGACTGGAATTGATAGACAAACTCGTCAATGAGTTCCCACAGCCATTGGTCAGGCAACTCTAGGGGTACAGGCGTCTCCGCAGACAGAATGTAGTTGAAGAGGTCACAATAATTGTAGAAAGAGTGGAACCTCTGGTCGGGTTTTGGTCCACCAGGGACACGCGCATAGATGTCTCGGTAATACAATTCCTTGTAAAGGATCATGAATACCTAAAAATAAAAATAGCATTTCAATACCAAATTATTATTATTGTGTACACTATTTCTTTATGAGATCATAAGGGCCCAGACCACACCAACCGACTTGACCAACAGACCCAACTCACAGAGGTTGTGTACATTATTAAAGTAATATTGCTATAATAAATATAAACAACAATAATAACAGATACTTCTGTGATTCATTAACACACACTAATGATCCACCAGTGGTCCACCAATACACAGATTTAAGCATGATAACTTATTTCTATTATGGCTCAGTAAAGGCAGATGAGTGAATAATCAAAGATTACAAATTCTTAACAACAATAATGAAAGCTTGTAAAATACTAAAATATGAACTTATGAGCACAACACTGAAAAAGTTTAAGGCAGCAAGATTGTAATCAATCATGGTTTACAGTAATTATGTATGTAGTGGACTTCTTGTGGTTGAGAATATGATGATGGTTTGGATGAATATTACAAAATATCATGGTTGAAAAATAACTTACATGGTCATTATCCACCACAGGAGACACCTCATTTTCATCAGGCCACGGAGTGTTCTCAAAATACTGTTCAGTAAGTTTTGGGAAGGTATTCTCATACAGGTTGAGGATTTCATATGTTACTCCCTCATTGATCATGTTACGGAAGTAAACAAGGAATTTCTTGACCTATAAATAGATAATTTATTAAGTATAACACTTGCAAAGCGCTAATACTTCAATTAATGATGAAGAAAGAAACCGTCTCACCATGTCAGGCATTTTATAGTATGAAGACCTGTCGTATTCTAGGTCATACTGCGGATCTCCCGTGTGAGGTTCGTAATCACCATAGGATTCATATCCACCCTAAAATCGTAATAGAATATGATTTAATTTATAAATTAATCAAATAATTGCTTACGTTTTCATTTGTAAGAGGTTATGACATTTAACAGTGAGTAAAGTACATATAGTAAGCTTTAGATTAACACGTACCTCATTATAATCATCACTAGAGTACATTTTGCGCTAAATTGTAACCAACAAATACAAATATTCAGTTTATTTCAGTAAAATCTGTCCACGGGAAAACGCTGTCGCCCTTTTACATTCGTTCTCATTGCAAAGAGGCAAGGTTTATTCTCTATGACAAAATTACTTGTTGTTAATTTCAGTAGGATTGATGTGATTGGCTTATTTTTGACATAAGAAGCTTTGACCAACCAGAAAGATACGAAATATAGTAGACACGAATAAAAAAATGTGACCTCTATGACAGAACCATAGACCTACCGTAGAGTTTGAGTTCATCAATCTACAGTCGACTAATGTCAAATCACATCAAATCACTTTAATGCATAATTTTAGGCGATTATCACTTGTTAGCTATAGCTACTAGCTCGTTTTATTGGATACTTTTTCTTAATCATCTATGTATGTATGAAAATAAAATAATTAATTACACTCTGCAAGTATCGGTGCTCGATGCTGTTGCTTCCCAAATTGCAACCTAAAAATTAGTTTCTTCTTTTACTCAGTCAGTATCACATTATTGTTACTCACTATTACCAGCAGTATTTGGAAAATGACAATTCGAGTCGAGTATTTGACACTTTGTCAGATCTTGTCGTAATTCTGCAATAAAATTCTGACTGCTTTACTTTGTAACTACGCAAAAATGTTCGCCAAAAACGGTATTAATTTTCTTATTCGCAATGCGACTGTTATGAAAACAACTCCGGCTATTAGATCTTTTTCTGTTACGGCGGTAAAAGGTGATATAGTCAAAATTCAAAGTACTGATGATTTCAAAGACAAAGTCATCAACAGCAAAGTCCCAGTCGTAGTTGATTTCTTTGCTACGTAAGTATTATTTAGATTAAACCATTATCAATGTTGATAAGGGTTAATAATTTTAATATAAACTAAACTTGAAAGTACACTGATTATATCACAAGGATGTGTAATTCATTTACAGATGGTGCAATCCCTGTCGCTTATTGACTCCTAGACTGGAATCAATCATTTCCGAAAGCAAGGGAAAAGTGGTACTAGCTAAAGTTGACATTGATGAACAGGCAGACCTAGCTTTAGACTATGACGTAAGCTCTGTACCTGTCTTAGTGGCTATAAAGAATGGAAAAGTATTAAATCGCCTTGTTGGCCTGCAAGATACTGACAAGCTACGCAAATGGATAGAAGACTTCACTTCTGATGAGAGCCAACAAAAAGTTAATGTCTAAGATGTGTTATTAGCACTTATTTAAATTATTGTTGTTACCATGTAGTTGATATTCGAAATAAAGCAAAATAAAACAACTGTTTATTCTTCTAGACATTGTATTAAATCCCTAGCTCGTTTATATACACTATCATCAGGTTTTTTAGGTTTAGGTGTTTCCTCACTATCTTCATTCTCTTCGTCTTCCTCATCATTATTTGTTTCTCTGCCTTGTGACTCCGTCCATTCATCCATTTGTTTTATAATTTTGTGGGCGTCTTCCAATAGGATATTTCTTATGTTACCTTGTGCAGACTCAAAATATTCAAGTAGTGTAGGCCATGAGGCATCTGGTACCAAGTGTGTTGAGAATTTGTTTTTGAATAGCCATACTTGCCTGGCCTTCATGAATTTCCAGTTCTGTTTGTCATGCTTCCACTGTGACAAATAATTTAGACATTGACTTTTTAGCTGATCTTTAGCTGCAGATTGTGCTTCAGCCTGCCGTGCTGCAAACTTTTCCCTCTTCATTTGACGAATTGATTTTTTCCCCTTTTTATCTGTGGAGTCCATTTGTATAGGTTGCTTCTTCTTTTTCTTTCTTTGAGGTTTATCTTCAACGTCGGAGTCATCCCCAACTTCGTGTTGTCTTTTCTTGGAAATTGAAATGTTGCCTGCATTTTCACCATCAGATTCATTTCCTTGATCTTCCATTTCTTGCAACTGCTCTTCAGGATTTTCGTTACCAGCATGTTTAGCTCTTTCTAACCTTTTCTTTTTATTTTTGTTCTTCTTTTTGTAGTTATTGCCCATCTTTTAGATATAAACACAATGTGCTTCTTTCAATAGTAATAATGTGGTAATAATTTTTAGGTTAGAAAGTATACAAAACAACAAGCGTAACACATGTCATTCTTGTCTTGTCAATGTCAGTAGAATAGACTGTCGGATGTCAATGTCATCATTTGCTATGAAATCGGCGTATCAAAATACCAAAAAGCATAAAAATTTATTTATTAATTTATGAACACTTCGTTATGTAACAAAATATATGAACGATTTACATAAATTAATTTTGCTACTCATTTCTAATTATGTAAGGCTCTTTTCACGAGCAAAGAAATGTTAATAAAATGTTATAACTATTTCTTCCATATTTTACAGTAAATTTCAAATTGACTACTTCTGAACAATTTTATTTGCTAGCTAAATGAAGAGGGAAGACTTTTTTAATAATTTTGTAAAGATTTATAGGTAATTTTCTTGCGTATTTCAATAAATTAAATTAAATGTTAGTGTAGTAATTGGCAACCCAGTTACTACTAAATCGCAATTTTTTGGCACGTCACAGCCGCGTCATCATGTCTCCGTGTCTGCTTTTATCACTTTGGAATTAATTTGTTCAACAGTATCATACCTTATCGACAACTTTATATGTGAACTATAAATTTTGGGCGGTTTTTCATTTAGAGGCTTAAGATGGAAATTTTGAGTCAAGTGTCTAACACGCAGTTTATGTTCACCGCTGCGGCTGTGGCTGTTGTTTTAGTATGCGCAGCTCTCGTATTCGTCTTCGGGTTCCGCTCAGCAGAACAGCCGCAGTTTGATAAACTGCCTCTGGTATTGGACGACAGAAAATCGTCCAACAAGAAGAACAAAAAGAAGGACAAGGTGAGTGCAAACAATATGTTATGTGCTCCCGCCGTTGTCATCATTGCGTGCTCATTTTATTTTTAACCTGTAAGCCGGGAGATACGAAATTAAAGCTTCAAACATCAATTCTATTTACCCATAAGGTGTTTAATTAAATTCTATTTACTTTTAATTTATGAATGTACCTTTGAGGAATGAAATGAGGTGTAAACAGAAACATCAACTAACAGTTATTTAATTAAATTTATAGAAGTCTTCACCCAACCGCGTAGTGACTGATGATGTGAAGACAAAGTCTGAAAGCTCCAAAAAGTCTCCAAGCAAGGAGAAGAAGGAGGAAAAAGTGAAAGAAGCAGAGAAGCCCAAGCCCAAGGAAAGACCCGCTGAGCCCAAACCTGTGAAGAAAGAGACAGGAGCCGGTGATGCCAAGAAGAGTAAGAAAAACAAGATTGTAGTTGAGGTTGAGAAGCCTGCTGATTTTGATGATGGAGGCTGGCAAGAAGTGCCAAAGAAAAGTGACAAAAAGAAGGAACGCAAGCCAGTTGAGGAGAAGGACAAGAAGAAGGAGAGTCCTGCTAAGAAGAATAAAAAGGTGAAAGATGCTGATGTTGAGGCTGCCAGACCGGTGGAGGAGCCCGCTGAGGAAACTATTAAGGTCATCAGTGCTGAAGGCCCACATGTGGATGAGGATGCAGCCCGTGCACTGCAAGCTCAAGTGGAAGAGCTCCAGCGTGTACTGAAAGAGGTAATAAATATTATCTGTATTCTATTTGTTTTACTGGTTAATAACAATGCTTTTATTCCACCTCAGCCCTGAAGCACAAGTGTGAATTTCCTACAAGGTAACTGATTAAATGAATACATTGTTTCAACAGGCAGAGCGTCGTGAGCAGGCTGCCCTTGGTGGTGTGGAGGATGAGGAGTCCCCTGAAGTAGAGGAGCTGACTGATGTTAAAGATCTCCGTAGCAACAAGAAAAAGGAAAACAAAGAAAAACAAATTAGGAAGAAATCTGTAGAGGTAAGTAACATCAATAAATTGTGCTTCAATAGTAATATTGTAGTTACTTTACAGTTCCATTGTTATTCTATTATCTTAGTTATAGATTTATTCAAACAATAAAGTAGTAATTGACTAACATTAATATACAATCATTTCAATATCATTACATACTACTTCTGCTATAGTAATAGATAAAGGTCAATTATATGTAAACATGACTTTCGCATGACTTTATGAATAATAACAAAGTAACAAATTCAATTATCTCTATGCCTTTGAAATTGCTCGCTTACTTATGTTTGGCTTCATAATAAATAAAATAAAAATAATGAGCTGATGTGGCCAGACGAGTATCTACATTTTGGCCAAGCAGAAGTGTACAATCCATACTGATTATAGATGGTTTTTTAAATCTGTACTGATAATTATTATTTATTTTATTCAATTCTCCAATGAAATATTGTTTGTTTCCAGATTTCAGCAGCCAAGAGTGTCCCGAAACAAGAGTCTGTGGAGAAGGACACCTCCGACTCTGAGAAACAAGACAGCCAAAATGCTTTGGCCTTTGATGAGTTAGGCGGTAAGTTTTATCAAAGTAATAATTAACAAATTACTACTAAGTACTTACAAATTACATTCACTTAGTTTGGTAACGATAATTTTGTTACTGTAAAGTCATATTCCTATTGAACATTGTACATTAAAAAAATTACGTGTTACACTTCAAATAGAATAGTAAGTATTATTTTGCTAAATTGGATAATGGTAATTATGTTAAGCATACTTCTAAAAGACTTTCTCAACTAGCACTTATAATTTGTTACATTTCATAACAAGTACTTATATATATATGCTTATGTAACATGTTGCTCAATGGGTTTTATTTTCATTTGTTGCAGACACTTGGACAGACGCGAAAGTGTCCAAAAAGAGCAAAAAGAAGGCTCGCAAAGACCAGTGAAGGGTGAGTTGTAGAAACAGGGTCCAGCTGGGCACTCCGCCCCGTTGCTAGCTCAATGCCACTCACCCCTGATAAAATTATCTACCTGTTGCTGCTAACATACTCGAAGTGAACATGCTATTCTGTTGCCATTCATACAAACCTCAAGTTTAAAGTCTAAATTACCACTCAGTTCAGGGTTGTAGTTTTACAGGGTGTGAAAGTTGTTTATATTTTAAGTTTTAATACCTTAACTTTCTTACACATTCAGTTAACTTTCGTCCATGTTTTTAGTTTCATATTTTATTGTACATTTAGCTCGTTGACTTGTTTTCATAATAATTTAATTATTGTTTTCAATAATAGAGCATAATATTTTTTTATGAGTCATAATTCATTATGTATTTGGAGAACTTTAATGTGAATTTTGGGAATCTGCAATATGTTCCGTGTTATGTATTTACTTTGTTACTATGTGAGGAATGCGATTTAATTAATGGGGGCTCGTATTCTGAGGAATACAGTTGTTACCTGCGCGCGCGATACTTAAGTATTACGACGATATCCAGAAGGATATTAACATCCGATTTACAACGAAATTATTCTATGTATCTACGAAATCTTTCGGTATCTTACCCTAATATGTTATTCATGCAGACAATCTGCCACATTATGTTTGCAAAAATATTTTTAACTTTTTCTTCCATCGCGCGCGTGTTGTATTATATACTCTATCTATTTCCATACTTACGTAGACCTATATTGTACCTCTAGTTGTAGAACTGTATATCCGGTAATAATATATTTGAGATCTTCTGGTGCTTGTAGTAAATAAGTCTTTTCTCCTTTCATTCCATTTGTGTGCATTTCATCCTTCCGTAATAGTTGTCCGTAGATGTCATTCCTGCTAAATATTTTAATATAAAATTACTTTGACGATGTCATCTCGTTTATGTAATTTAGTTGAACACTAACTAATTATTTTATGTCAATAATCAGTGTTGTGATTTACCCATGACAAAATATGTGATGAGACCTGAATTGGACCAATCCGAGTAAATACGCGGTTTTACGTCGTAACGTCTTATATAATTATATTTAAATTATAAATGATTAATTGGTTTTATGTTTCTGCGTCGTAGTAGAGTAATATATAATGTTAATTATTCCGTTTACAATACAAATTTAGATATTGTGGATATCTTCCGTCCGGACCTAATGTGCTTTCTCTTAAAGTTTAGCACAATCGACATGATTTGATTCCTTTATTTATGATGTCATTAAATAAAACAATATTACATATCCATGTTGCTAAAGTTAAAGCAAATATTTATATCCTATTGTAAAATATAGCAGTCTCAGATTGTTACAATTTGTAACAATTACTATTTTATTGCAGATTCCTATTTTGTAAACCTAGTTTTAAGAATAATTCTAGTGTAGCGCTGCTAAACAATCATTTAAAAATTTGAAATGTCTATAAATGCAAATAATTTATTATTACTTTTAAATAATAGGATAAAATGCGAGAATGTTACAATGTGGTTAGAAATTCGTTGCTAACAAAGACAAAATCTGTGTAAACACAAGAATAATAGTCTCAGTACTCGTTTGTCTTGGACTTGGGCTGTGAAATGTTTCATTGGCACATACACCGTTCATGACGTACATGTACATACGTCGATGTATCTGAATGAAATTATATCTCGCGAGTGATCTTGTATCTCCATTTCATCTACCTGTATAATTTATTTATTTTGCATGTTGTTGATATTACCTTGTGATATCTACTAGTGCCAGGGCAAGGGTCTGTAGTATTTCGTTGCAATAGCTAGACGTTAGTGTTCTTACTACGACTTCTCTAGCACTTGAACTTACCATTCATTTTGTTATTCTATATTTAAGCATATCGTAGGAGATTTTTTTCCAGTTGTGGTTCCATATCTATTTGCGTTTCCTTTTAGTCTAATTCTATTCTGTACTTAGGGCCTACATTTATAAGAATTTATCATCTAGTGAGCTGTCGAAGATGAATTAAATTCGTATATCGATATAGGTATAACTATAATGATGTAAAATATATTTTTGGCTTCATATTCATAAAGTAGTTTGTAGTGACGGGATCCCGCGCCTGCGCGAGCCAGGTGTGGACAATGCCAACGTATAGAGACACTGTATCTTGATAATGTTGTTGTTTTATAGGCTCTAAAGTAATTAATATAATGAATGTGTAATATAAATATTTTTTTAAATCAATAAAGAGTGATATTGATACATTTGTATTTTTTTATCCACTATAAAAAATTCAAGTAGTACGTACTTAAGTATCTCCTCGTAAAATGAGTTTGTTTTATGTGCATGTGTAGTGTGTGTAGGTAAATAAAATAGACGGATAGTGCTTCACATTATAATATAATCGTATAATAAAATTACCAGTACAAAATTGAGATTCAAAGTACAAGTAAAGTAAGTATACAATGTTATCTTACAACTAGAGTTAATATTAATATTTTATTCGATTGAGAATATAAAACTGTGATTTATATCGACTAGGTTATATAGGCGTAGGTGAAAATCTAATCTGCATACAAATTATCATACCAGTCTGTCTCCTTAATATCTATCTCATTGAAGATTAAAAATACAGTGGTTGGTTAGACTTAGATTATTTAATAAATTTATGTATAATCTAACCATAGGAAAGATAGTGCGAGTTTATCAATTATTATTATCCACGAACTTGAAACTTGGCCAGAATTTTTGGTCATATTTATAACCAAATAATTTACCCAACTGTATGGATAGATCAATAATTATATTGTTCATAATTTTTGTCAAGAAAACTTATAATCTCTACACAGTAATAAGCCTCTCTAGGCTGAAAGTTTATTTTTTGGAGGATCTGCGATATTTTAGTGTCACCAATTTTTTCAAGGGATTTTCGTCTTTATATCAAAACAATAAAGTTGTAAATATTAATTTAGATGAATTTGACAGAAAGAAGTAGGTTGACTCGTCCCACTGTACCTTAAAGGTGTCTTTAGTCCAGTGACTAAAGACTCAGTTCAGTAATTGAGAGTAAGTAGATAAGCTATATTTCTTATGAAAAGATAAAAAAAGTTATTGTGTCTTGTGAGAGACGAAGCATCTGTATCAAATGAAGTCATCATGAGGCATCATGTCATCAGGAATTCGAGGAATCCAGAGAAATCGAGAAGAACTCCTCGAATGTGCAGGTAAATGACAATTATTCCATAACTTGCAATATATATTTTTTTAAGTGACAATTTATTAGTCTGAGCAAGATGGTGGGAATTTTTGCGTAGAAAGGTTAAAGTTCGGAATCGCTTTTAGCTCCCGACTTATTCCTATGCGCCTTGCTTAGTTCGGGTGCAGCACTTTTACTGCGCATCTTACGTTTTGGGCGCCGTCGAAGTTTTTTCATTTTGCCGAGGCCCTGCGTCGGTGCTGCCTGTGCTCGCGATGATTTTGTTTCCACTTCTATTTTCAAACGGGCGAACATGTCGTAGTTTGTAATGGCGCACATTTTACCTAAAAACAAATATTCGTTAAGTTCAGCTTAAAATTTCTGATTTTATCCTTCGGATCAAGGTTAGGTCGATAGTGAATCATGTATATACCATTACCGTGTGATTACCACTTCGATCGGTGTAATAGACTATTAAAACTGGGCATCACGTACCCTATTGTCCTATATTGTGCATGTGCGCGTGCCATTTTTGAAGCAACCTCGCTCATGTGTGACCTATCCTCTAAAATGGCAATAATATTATACATATGTTATGTATTTTATTTAGGTAGTAGGTATGTAGGATTATAATATAGGTCGACATTTATGCAAACTTACCGTTGCAGTATTCTTCGCCGCATTCCGCGCAAGATATTATTCGTGTTTCGGTCACTCCTGAACGATTTTTCGTTTTTCGGAACATTAAGTTTTTAGCGTAATCTCTTTTATCTTTTGCTTTTGTTTTAAGCTCGGACTTGCCTAGTTCTACTAACCTGAAAAAATGTTTAAATAACGGTTAAAATAAAAATCACTTATCATCATCATCTCATAATGAAATAGATTAATAGCCAAAGCAAACATCTAGGGGCATTCCACTTTGCGCACCTAAATGAAGCGCACCCAGACGAAGCGCACCTAAAGTATTCAACTTTGCGCACCTGTAGGTGCGCTTAAAATAAAAATTTTAAATAAATAGTTTTTCTATTCCACGAAGCGCACCTACGAATATCACTCGCATAGTGCGGAGACTAAGAAATAAAAATATCGATATAAGAACATATTTATTATTTAAAAGACTAACTTAAATTTCTAACATCATTCAGTTTCATTATAATAATGTGACACAATATTGATATTTGTCCATGTTTTTATTGTAATTATGAAACAATCTGTGATTTTTTATGTTAAAGTAGAGTATTTTTATTGTTCACTAAACATGTAGCTATAAGAAAACTTCAACAGATCTTTATGTAAAACCATATTTACAATGTCTTTCATATTTGTCCATGTTTTTATTGTAATTATGAAACAATCTGCGATTTTAAATAGTAAGATTACAAAATCAAAATGACAAAATATTGTGTCACATTATTATAATGAAACTGACAGATGTTAGATATTTAAGTTAGTCTTTTAAATAATAAATATTTTCTTATATCGATATTTTTATTTCTTAGTCTCCGCACTATGCAAGTGATATTCGTAGGTGCGCTTCGTGGAATAGAAAAACTATTTATTTAAAAAAATTATTTTAAGCGCACCTACAGGTGCGCAAAGTGGAATACTTTAGGTGCGCTTCGTCTGGGTGCGCTTCATTTAGGTGCGCAAAGTGGAATGCCCCCAAATTACATGAAATAGGTTTATAATATTTCTAACTCACCTGTTAAAAAATTCTTCGTCCATTTTCAACTTCGGCCTGATAGAAGTAAGCATCCGCCACTCAATAGGGACAATACACAGTTCCTCAAACTTCAGTCCCTTCATTTCTGCCGGTATAGGATCCATGAATGTAAAATGTTTCTCCTCGTATCCTCTGGTTCCCAATGTTTCGTATGCCTTTATTTCTTTTCGAGGTGTCTTGGTCTTATTGTCTTCTTTGATTTTGACGTCTTCTGATCTTACCTAAAGGATTTTGTTTTAATTGTAAGTAAATCATCGGCACAGCCTAAGTTTTTGGTTATAAGCAACAGTTACCTTTTCTGGTCGAGTTTTAAAGTCCGGTACTTTATCTAAAACTGCTCTATATTCTTCAGCAGTATTTATCACAGTTTTAGACAAGTCCAACATGGGAGCCTCATCTTTCTTTTTATCAAATAATTCGTCTATTTTAGACATATTTGCTTAGGGTACGGTGTGTGAAATACAACTAACTTGTTACTATAGGAAGCATCGATCCAACTGAATGCTCCACATTGTTTACTAGGAAACCGAACCGTTGAATCGATGGTATCTCGTAAGTAACCTAATTTTTCACTACGTGTTGCATGACTAGCCATATTGTGCCTTAAGGAAAACTAAATCTAAAATTTGGTTTTTACATAATTTTCTTGTTCTTCGTGTTTGTCGTAAAGTTCTCTTTTGGCAGTATTTATTTGGTCTATAATTTTCTTTCTGTTTTCAGCGTCAAACTGGTTAGATTTTCCATTTCTCTCATTAATGTCATCTATCCATAATTTTCTGTTACCATATTTGTCGTTGATAAATTTCTGCGATAAGGTCATTCTTTTCATTGGAGACGCTTTAGGTGATTTTTTAGTTTCTGTGATTTCGGTACCTGTTAATTGTGCTAAAGAATTAAAATCAGGCTGTAAATTGTTTGTTATCTCAGATACATTTAAAGATTTTGATAAATCTTGACTAGACCGTTTACTTCGCCAATAAGATTGACTTAATGAGTTTCTGTGTTTATTTCCATTTTCGATTGTTTTTTCAGACCTTGTAGGTGGACTTGGAGAACGACTATCATCACTAGAATGTGATAAATATTGTCTTGCTTGAGGTCTGTACTTTTGACGCATCTTTCTCTTTTGGCTGTAGAATGGATCTTTTTCACTTTGCTTTTTGTATTGAGCAGCAGGTCTATTAACGCCCCACTTTGGACGATTTTCCAAATCTTTTTTATATCTCTCTTCAGATCTAAAACGTCTATCTTTTTTCAACGTGTTATGATGACTGTCCTGTGGCGCATTCTCGTCAATGTTAGGATAATCTTTATCAATGTTTCTTTCGGGTTCCTCGGTTTCTATAATTTTATCGGTTGTAGATTTAAATATTGAATCGGTTTGAGTTGCTGCATCTTTCATTCTCATGGTCCTGTACTTATTTGGTGTTAATAATTTTCCTATATCATTAATTTCATTCACATTATTGTTTAATGAAACGCTATACAAATTGTTGGCCACATTCTGAGGTACTAATACTGCTAATTGTATATTATTTGGCTGTGTGTTTATAACTTCATTAGCACCATTTAACCCAATCGGCACGATGTTAAATTGTCCATCCGCTAAAGCTAATGGAGGTACGCTATGAATAAACAAATTTAGATTTCCTGGGCCTACTGATCGTGGTGAATTAAATTCTGTTGTTTGGTGGGAGTTGCATTCCCTTTTTTGACTTTTTGCGGAATGAATGTCGTATGTTCTACTTGTTTTGGTAGGACTTGTAGGTTCTACACGTGGCGTGGACTCGGTCACTACTGGAGTTTCTTCTACTTTAGGTTTAGGAACGTTATCTGAATTAGTATTTGCATTTCTTTTATGGAAACTAAATCTCTTCTCTTTTTCTAGCTTCGCTTTTCTTTCAGCGTCTTCTAGAGCTCTCTTCAATGTGTCTAATTTCTTTTGCTCCATCAATTGCTTTTCTTCTAATTTTCTTCGTTCTTCCTCTAGTCTTAGTCTGTCTTCTTCTTGTTGTCTTTGTATACGAAGTTCTTCTAGTCTTTCTTCTCTAAGCTGCCGTTCTCTCTCTTCTTGACGCCGTTTCTCTCTGTCTTCCAATTGATTCAGTATCGCTGATTGCAACTCTAATGCTTTTAAGCGTTTGTTTTCTCGTTGAGCTTTGATTTCAGGCTCAATGGGAACATTTTGTCCTCTTAAAAACGTCCTGCAAAGAAAATTATCTGTAAGGGTACCAGAATTATTGTAAGACATCGTGTATTTTTTAACCGACTTCTTATATGAATGCTTACCTTCCTTCATCACTTCCGTTGCATGAAGATCTATCGCAATCTATTCCAGTGCTATTACTAGAACTTCTTTGGTCAATGACTAGAACCTCTGCTGTGTTGTCTATCATATTCAATCCACGCTCGACCCAAGATGGCGTGCCTTTTTTTTGATTGGGCATCTATAAAATAAAATGTTATTAAAGTCATTTATAACAATAATCTATTGCCCTTTTACAAAAAACCCATTTGATTAGAATCACCATGACATTATTAGTATTATAAAATACTAAAAAGACATCAGTGCATCGACTATTATTAGGTTATTAATATTCCTGTCTTTTTTCTATTGGTCGACCGCACGAAATGTACAGTTAAGGTAAGGGGTCGCATATTGAGCTTTGAGTAGATTCAGGCGATTAATCTTGACAGCACAAGAAAAGCTTTTTTCTTACTTTAGCGAAAATTACTTAATATTTGTTCTAAAACTAGGAACCTACCAAAATATGGAAATTTTATGGTACCATACATGATCACGCCTTCTATTTTTTAAGGATCGAAAGGAAGGCAGAACAGAAGCACACTTGTTAACTATGCCCATTAATTTAAAATAAATAAGAGGCTTAAATTCAGTACTATAATATGCTACTTATGATAGCATTACCTGGGGCAGTCTAGCATTAGGCGCAGTAGGTTCCCAGAGCCTGCCAGTGGCGACGCCACGGTCGCCCCATCGTAGCCGGCCTTCTTCCGACGTCCGTGGACTTCTGGCTGACCACGCCCCATCCGACATGCCTGACTTACCGCCACTAGAATCCCTATTCCTGTGATAAAGTGAAAAAAGTAAATGTCGTTTATAACTATGTTGATACTTAGTCTGCATAATAAAAACACTATAATTTTTTTAAAAGCATTATTAGGTTTTTGGAAAATACACTAGACAACTTTTTGTCCTTTTAGGATATACATGATGACGTCGTATTAGAAAGAAAAACGATTTATTAAGTTCATTATTAAGTCGTACCTAATGACGGTACTTATGGTATAAATAATAGAATATAATATAGGTAGGCATGGCCTAAGTAGAGGTAGGTACTTAAGCAAATCACACAAGGCTTAGTTCTGCTAGTCTTAGCGATTAGAATGTAATCGTCTCAATTACCGATAATGAGCAAAATTACTGGCGACAGAATACCTAACGTTGTATCGATTTGATGATTTCACTTGCGCATGTGTGAGATATCTTCATGCTATACCGTTATATCGAGAGTAAAACCTAATGTCATTTTAAAAATGTTGATTGAAAATTTTATCTGCTTCGTCATTTATCAAAGATGTCGATTTGGTTGGGTTGGTTTAATTAAAGTATTCAAGTGTTACTGGCTTACTTCCTAAAAAATAAGTACATATTGCACTTTATCACACTGCAGTATTTGCACATAGTTAAAACAGAAAATTTAATGTTTTAGGGCTCTGTAGGTAGGTACCATAGGGGTAAAATGTGACACTATCACTAAGGTGGGTACAGACCATTCGATTTATTTAAACAGTTGTACTGTTTCAATGTTACATATTACGATTAACTCAGACACCATGTTGGTGATTACTAAACCAATGAGTTTTACCTACCTACATAAGTAAGGGCCGATTTTTCCAACGCTAGATAAATTTTAACTAAGTAATAACTGAGCCCTTAGGTTCGATTTTTCAAACAAAATTAATTTTTAGTCTTCTATCTATCTATATCTATACTTATAATAAATCTGTAGAGAGGTCAATTCTGTACATAAAATATATTTAAAAAATAACTATCAAGGGGTGATTAGGGATCGCTACTGATGCCAAAAATGCAATCAGTAAAATTTTTGTCTGTCTGTCTGTCTGTCTGTATGTTCATTATGGAAACAAAAACTACTCGATGGATTTTAACGAAACTTGGCACAATTATTCTTCATACTCTTGGGCAGGTTATAGTATACTTTTCATTACGCTACGATCAATAGGAGCAGAGCAGTGAAGGGAAATATTGGGAAAACGGGAGAAGTTACTCCATTTTTTAAGCTTCCGTCGCGTGTGCAGGCTTATAGGTTAAAGCTGCATAGAAATCATGTATGACGGAAATATTCTCCTTAAAATTATATAAAAAATATTCCTCGACAGCATCTGTCTATCTTTTATGGTTGACTCACAATACTGAAACTTGAAACTTCCGATAGCTTAGCAATTCGGTGATTTCTGATTGATCTGAAAGGCCAATGGTTGAAATTAGCTTGACTCGATATTATAAATGAAAATATGTGAGTTTATGTGTATGTTTGTTACTCAGTCATATTAAAACGACTGAAGGGACCGGAATGAAATTCGGAACAGAGGTAGATTATGGTCTGAAGTGATACATAGGCGTTTTACCCCTGGGATCGCGGGCAAAGCCGCTGGCAGAAGCTAGTTGTAGAATAAAATTGATATTTGACAGATTTCAAACATAACATAACATCACGTCTTTTATCCCTGTAGGCAGAGGTGCACGTTACGGCACTTAATGCCACTGAACAATGTAACACCCACTTGTCTCTAATTAGCTATGTAAATGTTATGAGTCCCTCCCATGTAATAGGGGGTGAGTGTGAATAGGCTCACCTATTGCCATATACATTTCCAGACTCCGTGCTACTACTGAGAGTTTTAAAAAACCCAGTAATACTTTGCCCGACTCGGTAATCTAACCCGAGACCTCAGTCAGTCTTGATAGTTTTTAGTATGAAGGAATTGTCAAATACCTATTCAAAGTTATTCCTCAGTTCCATCTGGTGTTCGAAAAATCGGCCCAAGACTAATAAAAACACAAAACACTCGACTATAGCTCAATCAGACACTACACTAGATGTTACACACTTTTTTGCTATTTTGGGATACTCAATACCACTCTGAGTCTAAAATTACAATTCTTTTAATAAATTACGATTGCAAAATCGGTGTAATGGCTAATGCAATATGTTCACACTTATTTTTATTACTACAGCTCTTACATTTTTATTAGTAAAGTAGGTACATAGATAGTTACTAAAATATTTATTACATGAATAAATAAAATAAATTATTATATATATTTCAAATTATATTTTGCTTCTAAAGCTAAATCCACGTAAGTACCTACCTATAGATATTAAGCAACGAGTATATATCACAGTTGCACAATTATTATGGAGGCCAATTTTCTGCATAATTTTAAACGGATTCATTATATGCGTGACTACTAACACTAAAAAAATGCATTAATGTTGCAAAATATAAAACAATAAACGTAAGTTGCATGGGCAGTTAAAACGCGATTGTACCACATCCATAACTTTCCGTGCGTCAAGTAGACAACCAAGGTGAAAAAGTCTTACCTGTCGTCTTTTCCTTCTTGTTGCCACGCCACGACAGGACTGTGGTTGTTGGCTTCGTGAATAGCCCTGTGTCCGGTTCTGTTCATATGGTTCAATGTTTCACTGCCGTACCCAGAAGTATCGCCTTCTCCGTCTTCGTCGTAAAATGAGAACCTCTTCGCACTCGTCATATTCCGATTAAGCACTGTATTCCTTCTCTCATCTTTCATAGATCTCTCCTCAATATTATGTATCGGCGGCAAACTTGGACTTCTTTGACGCTGCACGGGCTCCTGATACTCGTAAGACGACTGTTTATGTAGTTCTAATGTACTGGCAAATTGGTTCCGCACTTGCAAACGATTCGTATACCGTTCGCCGGAGCCCCACGGCAAGTAGAGGTGGGACATTTCCTCTGAAAACAACAAAAACTGTTGTTTGCACGATATTCATTAAACACAATAATTACGTTAACACAAAATAAAACCAAACGTAACAAACTATACACAATCTATAATACTTTCTATTTTTATTGGCAACAAAAACTTGATAGCTACCGTCCATGTCTACAGCCGTCTTTGAATTAACTGTTCAGTTTTTTTTTCGGAAAAGATAAATGAAAAACCGTCCCCTTTATGTGAAAAGGGTTTTTAGTTTTATCGATAGGGCACGCTGAAAATGGTAAGTCATTCATGCGAGCTGCATAATGTAATGTTATAGTGAACTAGTGTTGTAAACCATCACGGCTTTAGTGCAGAGGGCACGCAACCGCCGATATTTTCAGTTTACTGCGATCATAAAAAATTGAGGTTTGAAAAAGTCAGTTGCTTCATAGTTATTGCTTACTAGGTAATTCAAAGAAGGCACGTTAAAACATTTAAAGCTTACGTGTTTTTAATGCACACTTAAATAAATAAAGATCATTACTCTTATTAGGGTAAGTACCCGTATCGTCTATTCGTCTCCACATAATAATATGCAGATGGACAGATAACTTATTTACTTCCGAGATTTTAACAAGTTAAATGTTTTTATTACGTAAACACTGAGCACTATTGCTGGTATACCACTGGAGATCACTTTCGTATGTTCTTGTAATTTTGTATGAAACAATAGCATTGTTCTTATGGCACGTATTTCTATTTACTCTAATAGGTTCAAACTGCTTGCGGTGGCGGTCTAAGAATGGGAACGAATAGGCTTAACTTGTTTTGTTCCAATTCACGAACGACACGCAAAGCTCTGTTAGTGGGGAAAATAAGGAATTTTGTTTTAAGAAAGTTAATTACACTGTCGTCGCTTGTGTTTCTTTAGGGCGGCGATAGGGTAGGTGGGTCATTTGTCTCAATTTCGTCGTGTCGATATTAGTTCATCAGTTCCTTGGTAAAACTTAACAGACTTAAGTACGTGGACGTGGAAAGCGTACAGTACAACACTGAGTTTATTTCTTACTAAATGGACTTGAACAAAAATAGCTTGAAACTAACCTACAACATAAATAGTGGCTCGCATTCGTGCAATAAGCTGGACGTAACATACATATTTGTGCCGGAAGCGGTGGAAACCTCAACAATTTATGTCCCTTGGAAAATATTTACTTAACCAAAAGCAGGTGGCCAAGGATCTGGGTCATGTAAGCTACAACAATTCGTTGAACTTTAGTAAGAAAGTGAAATGTGGCGTTCTTTAGTCACGGCCTGAATAATTCACTATTTAATAAGTGCTTAGGATCGATTACAGCTGTTATACATTTATACCGGTGACTGGATCGGAAAGATTTCGTAAAGACATTTTTCTGTTTTCTGTTTCAATGAGCGGGTTTGAGTAGGTACAACGGAGGAAAATAACGGATAGTAAATAAAAACAAGTGGTCTAGCCAGTAATGGTATATTTTGTTTGAGCGTCACGCTCTCGTGGAGCGCAGACCGTCTCTAGGTATTAACGAGCAGTGAGTGTTTCTGTTACATTATTTAACGCTAGCACGTTACCTGTCTAATGTTCATCGAAACCGTAATTGTTTAAAGAGTCACACTTTTATATGCGACTTGTAGAAATTTAATTACTACAATTGCTTTTCTTAGCAGTCAGCACGTGTCAGTTTTATAAATTTGTTGCTGGATCTGATTTTTACATTTTTATAAAGATCACACGAAGTCTTGAAATTAGTTTAATTAGGGAATTTATTGTTGTGCAATAAATGTTTTTGTTTTTTTTTAACATTAACTTACATGACATAAATAAATGCACGTGGTGGTTAATGGGTGGTGGCAGCAGACAGGTAGAAACCGCAGTACACACTCACATTGTACGACCATTCATATCAATAGGGTCCCGATCATACGTAGGTATACCGTACGTGCTATTATCATACGTAAGTACTTATACTGTACGTAATGTAAAACGTAGAACACTATACCAATAGCATCTGAACAACAGAGGCTAACATGCCCATGCCCAACTGAGACTACTGTGGTTGAATCCTAGCGAAGCAAATAACGTCCGGTAGTCCACAGTCATAGCGTGCTGAACTACGAGTGTTCAAGTAAAACAAGTAAATGTGTACCTTATAAAACCACTTAAAAATTAATAACTAGTGGTGTACCTAACTAGGTTATGTTTATACATAGTAACTACATAAGTCCCTGATGTAGGTCCTATTAAGAAATTGATACGTGTAAATTAATTTTCTATCATTAAATAGATGAATGGTGGGTAAAGTGTTATTGATATTAGTGCGATGACTTGATTATAGTGGTAGTGCTATAGTGTCAACGACAATGGGGACAAAATTCTATTTATTCATGAATAAATAATTTATTCAGAAATGACTTAATTCACCACCTTTCATTTAAGTAGGTCTTTTGTGTTATGCCATTAAACAATAGTTAGAATTTAAATATTAATATGACAGTTGGAAGGTTGGGGAGGTCAGTAGGTATTTGGTATATGGGGTTTGCTGTCACGTAAGCGTTTTGTTGGTTTTTTAACCGACTTCAAAAAAAGGAGGAGGTTCTCAATTCGACCGTATATATGCTTTTTTTAATAAGTAAGTAGGTAGTACCTAGGTAGGTACTGTTAAACAATTCAAAGGTCTGTTGTTATAATCTTGTTATGAGGTAAACAATATAAACTTAATCAATTTTCCCCAATAGCTTATATTAATTAGTTACTAACTTATTACGGTTTTAACTTCTTTGCCCGAGTTGGAGAAATGTGAAATGTTCAGTAATAGCCTACAACCCAGTGATGGCAATCCGCAATAGGCTCGCATTATATATGGAATTGATTACGAAAAGTGGGGCTTAGATAGGGTGTTATAGTTAAAGCACTGAAACTCGTGCTATTAAGTGAATTTTGTTAAAAGATATAAAATGCGATGTACCTAAACTCGAAGGACTATTAAAGCATTTAGTAGCGAATCGATAAGTCTAAAAGCCTAATGATTATGTTCTAGACTATTTATGGAGGCGATTTAAACCCAGGGTGAAATGTGGTGAATGAAATGTACGTGCGTCGAGCATGTATGTTGAAAACAGAAAGGTCATTGGTTCTATCAACCTTGAAAGCTGATTGTTTAATCGTCTACCGCCCCTAACGTTTTCAATACAATCGTTTTTTATACTATTGTCATTTGGTAATGCTCTGTTGTCATTTAAAAAAGCAAGGAAACAATTTGATGGCTATTCCGCTGTCGTAAATACAAGTACTTCCTGGCGACGGAATTACTGACGACCTAATTAGACTTTATGAGCAACTCAATGGGTTAATTTAGATTTAAGTGTAGGAATTGCTTTTGTAATAGACACAAGGTTCTTATGAATCAAGTTTATCCTGGTTTTGGACTCGCGACTGCACCTGCTATTGACCGCACCGATTGTGACGATGAATGTAACTAAGGGTTATTTCAGATTTCAATAAGAATATATTTACGAGTAGGTAACAATTATTTTCAGACTGAATTTTGAAATACGTTCATGGAGAGAAATAAGGAACGGTTTTGTTTATAAATACGATCTCCTTTTCTTCCAATAGGTAGAGAATGCGAAGTCCAGTGCAGACAGCATCGCGAAAATGCTAAGAAAATCAAAATGAATGTTGAACGTTATAATTTACTTTTTGTTGCCATTGGTGTGGAAACTTAGATATCGTGTGATACAATATTTTTTTACAAAACATCACTTCAGAAAGTGAAATTGATGTCGTGATTATCACCATCTACATAATAACAAAATAACCGAGTAGGTACATAGGTTAGGTTGTGCTTTACACGTATCTATTTTGTTTTGAATTTTAATAAAAAAAATTTTTATTAGTTGGTACAAAAGTATTGTTTTGTTTATTTGTAGGTACGTACCGTGTTATATTGTTGCAATCCGAAATAACGAGAAAAACCAACGTGTTTGAAAGTCGCGAATGTTAGTAAATCTCCGTAATGGAATCACGACCGTGAATATGTTGCGAAATATTAATGGAGCGGGATGCAGATGCGAGCGTGCACAGGTCCGCGGCGCACTGGCGGCTACGCGGACGGCGGCCGGCGCTGGCGGGCAGCAGTGCAGCACACGAGCCGCGCGGACGCACCACACTACGTAGTACGCACCTCTCTCCCGCGCCCACTGCTGCTTCTTCTGCTGGACTAGCGACGCCGGCTTGCTCACTGACAGCATCGCACCACAATATTCATTACACTTTCTAATGCCCCGTATTGCACACACGTTGCGTTTGGTACTACCGCAGCGTAGTTACGGTGCACCAGCTAATGAGTGCTTTTTAAAAACGGACGCTCGCGCATTGCCAGCGCCGAGCGTTCGTCTCGGTTCGCTTCGCGCGTGCACTCATTGTCCACGGCTGCTGGACCCGCACTACCGACACGATTCAATCACCAAGCAGACAGTTTTTTCAAATTAACGGCACCAACACGCACGCATTAAATATCCATATTGGAACAATTATGAACGCTGTTATACAAGGGTCAGACAGTAAACAACCCGGCGAGTATCGAACTGGGTGTCTAGACTTTGGTGCCTTATTGTTTCAGAAGGCGACACGCGAATGAGACTTTCAGGGAAAAGCCTCGGAAAAGCCGCCGATCGATATAATTGTCATGGTAACGTTTGTTTCACGTGCTCGCGAGGAGTCGTGGCATTTTTCTTTATTTGCATTTTAGGCCACGAGGTGATGCGAATATTGTTCTGTGGGCTCATTAATAACGCGGCGTCAAGTAGGTAGGTACTTTTCATGTTGTATGTGGTGTTAACTATACGCTACCGACTGCGAATGCGACATCGACAGCTGTCGGAATTCGCTCGGTCAAGTACCTATAAAATGAAACAGAGTGCTCTCGGGAGGATAAAGTTAGGTACCTAGGTACTTTAACATTCATTGCATGTTCTGTAAGTGTACTCGCAGAGACATTTTGCCAATGACATCATCTCAGGAAATCACGTCAATTATATTATAATCTACCTACCTACTGATAGACCAATACTTAATTTGATATTGGTGCTTTTGAAATTGATAATAATATTAATAGATTAGGTTCGATATTGAAATACCAGGGATTTATTTGTTGTACCGCTGCCGTGCCTACATATTTATGGAAAGCCAAAGCAGTCATTTTGGAAATCATGAAAGTAAATACCATATTTACAAATTACCTGCCTTGAATTTATTAAAGCCTCAAACACTATCTGTGATATATACATCACACTTAGCTTAGGCCTGAAACAACAAATAGTGGATTCATATAGAGATGTTTCCCTTGGGAAACGAACCCGTAACTCGGAGCGCAGCAACCGGACGCCAAGACACTGCGCCAATCATGCTGTTTTATTTCCTACTTGAAGTCTCTGAATAGCAAAAAATTCTATTTATGTAGGTAGTTCTTTTAATATCCACTGTTATAGCACAAAAGAGCTTAACGTCGATGTAGTGTTCGTAATTTTACAATCTTATTTTAGTTTTATTATCTTGCCAGAGTTTGTCAACAGTAATTTTTCATGCAATCAAATGTTACGTCAATGCATGTTACGTTTGGGAGAAAAATCGTGTCAGCGCGACATACTGGTATGGTGCCTCAATAATTTTACTTTTTATTTTAGAGAAATTAATTATATCACACATGCTTCGAATTACTCGCTTACATTGTTGTGTATAATTAATCCGCAAAATATGATAAAATCGTGAAAGCGTTTGAGAAAACTACAAAATATTGAAATGAGCTAACGGTAGTTGCGTACTTAGGCATGTATGGGATTGCAATAAGGGTTTCCTATACGAAAGAAAACTATCTAGCTATTTGTACATAGGACCTAATTACAGGTTATGTTGTTTAACCCTTAGAGCGCCACGTCAGTCACCGGTGCCTGACGCTAGTGGAGGTTTGACTTTCACCATTTTAAACTTGGCAGTTAAAGTATTAAACAATTAGTGTAACGGATAGTATAGGAATTAATAATGTTAGGTAGGTACCTACCCAATATTCAGGTAATTTCGCGTTATATAATTTTTAATGCACTACGTTGTCTACCATTTGTTTTCCCCGCTCACCGCTTGTCGCGCCACGCTTGGCTGTGGCCAGGGGGTAAACGAGGTAGGTATACGTATACATTGTTATTGATTACCTAAAAGTTTTTACACACTACATAACGCTATTTACTTTTCAAAAGGGATAGTGGTAAAGTTGTCAATACTTAGCTCGATCTGGGAATGAACCCTTGCACTCTGCTATTACGTTAGTAACCGTTCCGCCTTTCGGAGATGAAAGCCAGGTTTGCATTTTCAAGAGTTAATTCTTCGTCTATGGATAACACTGGTCTACAAAAATAAGTATTTTCAAAGTTACAGCTGAAACAATGCATTTTTTTTCATAGAACTATGCATAGTGAGTACAAACTTTGAAGAAAGTGTACGTCTGTCACGTCTAGATTTTATGTTATCTGTTAACCAATTTGATTATTATACGTATTTTATTGCTTTACATAAAATTAACAATTCCATTTACTATACTTCTTAACAAATTAATTTAAAAGTTACAAGTTAATCTTTTCTTTACACTTAAGTTGATACTTTAACCTTTTGAGCGCCAGGGTCACAAATACGTGACAAGCGAAAACTGTCCCTGAGCGCCAACGACACAAATATGTGACAAAAACAGCGGTACATTAAAACACGAAATAAACTATTTAAACATTACTTTAATGCCTATTTATTTATATACCTGTAAAATAGAAGGTCCAAAATTTATTTATTTCCATAAAACTTATTAAATTGCATTATAAATATTGAGAAATTTTACGTTAAAAAGAAAGAAATAAACTCTGAAAAAAGAATATCCTCACACGCCAGAGTCATAACTGCGTGACCGCTAGTGATGTAGCGCATGTTGGATAATATCATTATTTCAAATCAAAGATCGATTCGAAACTTTCCTCTGGAATATATTATTTTAGGTATAATTTGGTACTAGGATAAAGCAGCATTAATTTTATAAAACCAGTCTTAAAAATCATTCAATAAGCTACATAGTCAAAAATAAAATTTGGTTGGGTCGAATTTCGATATTCACTAATCCCAACTCAAGCGCATCCCTAACGCAACCCGAATTATCAGTACCCTGTACGCCATGGTCACGACTAGACGACAATATCGTGACGTCACAAGCGCGGCGACCAGAAATTAGTGAAGTGAATGAATAATATTTATGATTAATTTACTTGTGATATCGAGTTCAAGATTTATATTAAGTGACTATTATAATGAGTGGAATTTAATGACTACGGAAGAACTTCGTGGAATAAAGTCTGCCAAAAGTTCCTTTTTTAGCCACGGTGCGCGCTGAGATCGATTTCACTGTCCCCACCACCCACTTTGCACCCAGCGAATTAGATGATCAGAATGCAGGTTGCATTGTAGATTTTGTATAATTTTGTTCTATTATTCAAAAGATTTATTAGTATAAGACTGATTGGTAATTGTGATAATTATATATAATCGTTAATTGTTTTAATTTGTTACTTCTTATGCCAGGTTTATAGAACTTAATATTTAAAAACATGTATACATAGTACATACTGTATAACATTTTATTAAAATTTTCTATTTTTTCATAGTTTTTATTTACCTTCTTAACCTATTTCAATCATATATTTTAAGTACCTGTTACATTCGGAATTATAAATCTGATTTAAAAAACGTGTTTCATTTATTATAAAATAATATTGTACTAGAACATCGATAAACGAGATATTACGTTGCCACATCCTTATTTCGAGAGCGAAGTAGTTATTAAAATGGCGGGCCGTCCACGCCATGGTCACAATATGAAGACAGCAGATCAAGAATAGTGTTGTACCTACAGTTATTATATTTAAATATATTGTAGTCTCATATCTGTTATTACGGTATTATACAAGTCTGTAAATAGTGTATAACTATTACTTTAATAGGAAGAAATGTAATGTTGAATTAAATTTCAATGTTATAAGGACATTACATATTTCGAAATTAAAGACGAAAATGAAAATAAAATTGATTATCGATGAAGTTTTGGAATCCCTATTTTTTTCGTAGGTATTTGCGGTGAATTTGTGGCCTGGCGTTGAGGGCAAGTTCATGCGTTTTTGCTCTGGCGTTCAAAAGGTTAACATGCACCATAGCTGAGATATGGCAGTTTATTTCTACTGATTTTTTTCGTGTAACCGATATTAAAAATGTTCTTTGAATACCCGGCTTAATTCTGTCTAAATTTCAAACTGATATGATATCTCAGTGATGATATAATCTAGAGAAACAATTCCAAATGATATGGAGAGAATAAGATTTGTACTATATATTGTACTTTTGCTTAGTTATATTAAAAAAGATGGTAGTTTTAATTGTTACAAAATACTTGTCGACCAGTGTAATTGTCAAATACTTTGAACCTAGTGTGTAGTGGTGAGGTACTATTATAAATAAAAGTTAGATGTTTATATTATATTTTATTCCTTATGCTAAATTAATACAATAAACCCCCATAACTTAAAACGCATATCTAGTTCTAATGTCTTCTAACTTTTTGGATACTTCAGCGGGCGTTCTCTCAAGGTCGCCAGCGATTGCCTTTTGTTTAGCTGGCTCTAACGAGTTGAACTGCTCGCACAAGTCGCCGTCTATCACATTCTGTAAAAATAAAAGTGGATTAGTTTTGATATTCGCAAAAACTTATGTAAAAATGAATTTCTTTGGCAGGTATGTCCGTTCCAAAACTATAGTAGCGCCATTAGAAACGCGTCCAACTCTCCGGAACTCGACAGACGGTAGCAACGAGGCGCAGTCATAACGACAAGCGCACTCGCCGCCTCGCGCCCGCCGTGCTCTACCGACAGTGTAACACAGGGTACTTCTCAATGAAGTACACTGTTGACTAACTGGCGGACATCCTACCTACAATTTGGTAAAACTGGATCTTGAATATATTAAACAAGCCCAGAAAATAACATATTTAAAAGGTTTAAAATTGCTTGTAGCTCACCTTTACGGGGTAATAATAACTCCTAAATGATAAGTGATCCCGACCACACAGTGGCGGGTTTTCACTCCTCATGTGCATTTCCAGATGCTGGAAGAAGTCGTGGTCTTCTCGGGAGGTAAATGGAAGAAGCACGCCGAGGGAACCGCTGACGGT